AGGAATGAAAGAGATAGGTCACTGGTTGCTTCTCCACCACTTCTCTGATTATTCAGGTTCTTACCCCAATATCTGACTCCAAAGTTTTTATTGATAAATAATAATTAGATAAACACATTAGCTTCTATACTGAATGAGACAATCAATGTAAATGTTTTTAAGCTTTGTGTGTGTGTGCCCACAGAGGCCAGTAAGGGCATTAGAATTCCTGGTGGGAGTTACAGGATTGTGAACTGCCTGATGTGGGTTCTGGAACTGAGCATAGGTCCTGTGGAAAAGCAGCACGTGGTCTTAACTGCTGGATCGTCTCTTAAGCTTCCCAATGTGAGGTCCTGAACGCTTCAAAACAATCACATCCAAGGGTGGAGCATGATGCCAGTGTTTTACCAAGAGAACAACATTACTGAGGGAAGAAGTTTAGAAAATGGGAGTTTTCATGAGATTTTTACTTTTTCATTCACCTGTTGTTTCACACAATGTGTCATCATAAAAGTAGAATTAAAGTGAATTAGCCTAGGAATCTATGTAGAAAGGAAGCTATGTATTAGAACCTTTGGCTTTGAAGTTTCAGCTAAAGTGGCATATTTATTGAGTTAATAGACAACTGAGAATTTACAAAAATAATGCTTCCAACATTAATTATGTAATATTTCTTTCACAAATGCTGAATGTAAGTGTAAGGAAAGTAGCTTCTATATAATATGGTGAAGTTAATATTGATTAGAAAATCCAGTTATCACTACCATTTATTTTTGATCGATCCCAAGATAGCTGTTTGTCAGCAGGGGAACTTGTGATTTAATTGGCAAGATGGAGTAATTAGCTGTATTCTCAGAGCAGCAATACAATGAAGCTCTCATATCTCAGACATGTGGTTGAGGTTTACGTTTTGTTTTGTCTACCTTGGGGTTTGTCCACTTGGGAACCCCCTTGTTTATCTGGGAATAATTTTTCATTTAAAATGTTTGCTAATTGTGTGGTTGAATAGTTGCCTTCGTTGTTAAGATGAGGGAAATTCCTGAGTTTAACAAGATTTGCTGTAACTTGTCCCCCTTTCCTACATCCTCGCAAGCCTGACACTCTTCCCTGGGGTCTGATGGTACCTACTGAGGGTGGGGCTGCTCTCTCCTTGCCTTTGATCAATGGATCTTCTCGGGGGTTGACCTGCAAACTGTCATTTATATCAGATAGCAACATATTCATCTACAGAAAAGAGAAAGCACTTTAATTGGCTAAACAAATAAAGGTTTATTTATCTTGTGCATGACCAAGTCTATTAATAGGTGCAGTGGCTTCCAAGGCAAGGCCCAACCTCTTTCCATCTTTCTGCACTTTGCCCTCCTTAGAATGTGGATACACACCCTCATACTGCTTCCTCCAAGAATGCAAGATGGAGGCTGTATCTCCGTGCCTTGCTACTACACTCCAGGTGGAAGCAGCTAGAAGTACAGAGGACAAAAAGTCTGTTTTTCACCCCCATCTATTACCTTCTAAGACACTTAGAACTAATTGCACAAAAACCTGAGAAATTCAGTAATTTGGTTTTTTAGCTTAAACAGTAGAAATAGTCAAAGAAAAGGTGGACTTTTTTTTCCCCAAAGCCAAACTGTAGTTTCATTGTATTTCCTCTGGAGTACAGGAAGTCTTCATAAGTTTCTTGTGATCTTGGAGTGTCCGTGTGTTTAGTTAGTGACAGAATGCCATCAAAGAATGACTTATAGGGATCTGTAGATGACTTATCGGCCCTGTGGCTGACCTGTCCATATCAGTCCTGGTTCTCCAGAGAAATGGAACAATTGTGTGTGTAGACTCACGTAAAATGCTTATTTTAAAGCTTTGCTTTCTGCGATTGGGGGGCTGGCAGGTGCAGAATCTTGCTGTGGTGTTTGTGTGTTGCCTTGTGTTCTATCCAAAGCTTCAAGTCGTCATGACACGTCCATATTATAAAGGTAACCTGTTTGATTCAAAACCCACTATTTCCAGGGCTAGAGGTGTTGCTGAATGGTGGAGTGTACACTTGGACCAGGGGCTTGATCCTCATCAAAAAAACAACACAACCCTTACATACAAACAATAAGAGCACCAATGACCCACAAAATTCAAAAATAAAACAAAACCTACCCATTTTCATGGTAATCGCATCTAAAATCATTCTGAGAGAAACATCCTAAAGAATGTTTGTTCACACATCAGGCACCAAGGCCTACTTCGCTGGAGTGTTTTGAAAGAGAATGGCCCCCAAAAGGAGTGGCACTTATTATGTGGTGTGGCCTTTTTGGACTAGGTGTGGTCTTGTTGGAGGAAGTGTGTCACTGTGGAGGTGGGCTTACTCATGCGCAGAGAGAGACCACTTCCTGTTGCCTTTGGATCAAGATACAAGGACTCTCAGCTCCAGCACCATATCTGCCTGCACACTGCTTCACTTTCTGCCATGACGGTAATGAACTAAACCTCTGGACTGTAAGCAAGGCACCCCATTAAAGGTTTTCCTTTATAAGAGTTGCCATGGTTAGGGTAGGGATATGTGTTTATTTGTTCACTGATGAACAACCATGAGGTCCTACTTGTGGAAGGGAAGACAGGTGGGGAAGAGAGGGAAGCGAGACCAAGGAGGAAGGAGGAAGAATTTTGCTCCTTGGAGAAAGACAACAGAAAAAGAATTCCAGGAAGAAAACTATAAGATGGGAGAGGTGTGGATACGAGTCACTTCTGAAGAGACACAGGAACATGATGGAGCATGGGCGTCGAGGCGAGCACTGAACAAATCCAGGGCTGGCTGCAAAGAGCAGGGCCAAGGCCAGGTGATAACCTCCCCAAGTTCTCAGCAAGGCTGATGGGCAAAAGTTTCCTGTGAGGGGGCTGGAGAGATGTCTCAGAGGTTAAGAGCACAGGCTGCTCTTCCAGAGGTCCTGAGTTCAATTCCCAGCAACCACATGGTGGCTCACAGCCATCTGTAATGAGATCTGCTGCCCTCTTCTGGCCTGCAGGCATATATACAGACAGAACACTGTATATATGATGAATAAATAAATCTTTAAAAAAAAAAAGTTTCCTGAATTTTGTATGCCATTTAAAAGCTGTCTCCAGGGGTTCTAAGCTTTACTATTTTTTTTTGGTCTGGGACCCAAACAAAGGGCCTAGCATGTGCTAGGTGAGCATTGTAACACTGAGCTACATTCCC